TAACATTTCTACAACTGACCTGTCGCATCTTATCCCTGGATTTGTTTGTTAATCTCCTGAGGCCTGCTCTGTGATTGTTCTTCATCCACCGGGAGTTGTCAATCTCGAATCCATTTTCGGTGCATCCACTTTCCGAGTATCCTTGCACGACTCATCAGCTTCCAGCTGCGACTTCAATATTACATCGCAGCAACGTTATGCTCCTACATCTCGTGTGTCCTCAGAAGGCGGGGCAGACCAGTTCCAAACTAGATGGTGAAGCGGTGGAACAATGACGTCAAGGATTTTGTTCATGCTTCCTCGATAGCCATGTACAGCGTCATCTGTATCTTCGGAATCAAGTCAACGGAACCTGCTTCCTGCAGTGCAACCCAACGACTTCTCATCCATTCCCCTCCTGTTCATGTCAAGGATAGCCGACATGATCTGATGACAAGTAACGGTCTTGACCTTATAGACATTCAAGCAGTGATGATAGTGACGGTCAATGCATATTGTCCCATCGTAAATATGCCAACTGCCTATCGCAGATAACTGGTAGCAATTGAGCATGGGCTTTCAGGTGGGGTGATTGTGGTCAGGTCGTCGTAAAATGCGACTGGCTCGGTAAACGCTGTTCATGGTTACATCGACTGATTAGTCGCAGTGCCCGGAACGGCAATCACATAATCCTTCCAAGTTCCCAGTCAGTGATCCTGGGGGGTTTACGTCTAGGTACCGCGTACTGAGATTCAATGCTTCAAGATGCGCGCTCTCAACGGTTTCACCATTTTACGTTGCATCGCGCCGTTTCAATGTGTTTCCACACAGGGCTACGACCAGTGTGGATGAACGACCGTTGTCTGTTGTCATTCATGTCTCGGTTTATGTTTGTGTTGCTGTTCATCAACGACAAGCAAGAGATACCTTGGCCACGCCGTCGAGTCCGAGACTCGAGACTATAAACCTGAGATTTGCATCTGCAGTGAACCCTAAAAGGCATGCATGGGTCTAGATCTGTCTGTCCGACGTCAATTCTGGATGTCAGCAGGTTCCAAGGCTCCGACCTGGTGGATCATAAGCCACGCAGCATTCTTGAAAGTAACCACACTTATAAACAACTCCGAACTGGCTGAGGGGAACGTGGCACGATTGGAAACCTCTTGAATTCGTGGGTTGAACTTTGGATATCGCGACATTTTCGATCTCGGAGATGCTTCGGGCTGAGACATGTCCTGTCTCCTTTTTGTCCTAATGCGACAGCTCTGAAATACATATCATATCGGAACCTCATGAGGGAAGGTGATAAATTCTATCTCAACTTCAAACACTGACCGAGACATAGGATCAAGAACAAGTCGTCCCAAGGGCTGAGAACGGGTATTGATGCCCTTGCCTTGACGCAATTAACGATACGATAGGTACAACAAGTAAAGAACGCTATGGGAATCTGCCCTTTCGCCGCGCCAACCTATTTCATGCATGGACGATAACACAAGAATGTCGATCCAGAAACACAATTCCACCTTTCCAAAAGAGTCCATCCCTCACAAATTTGGGGTCACTCGACCCAGGCCGTTGACATCTCAAGTTGAAGCAACGCAACACATTCTTGTAATTCCGGTAAACTGAGGCGCTTGGATTATGGACAGCAGCCACCGTGTGCGTGTATCCATTCCTAACATCGCCTCTAGTACCGGTATATAGGCTCCTTGCTCTTGGGTGGTGGTCCACTTGGCGCATCGTAGATGTCATCGTCGGAGACTTCGTCGAGTCGTTGTTGTGCGGGCGGCTGGGCTGATGGTGTCGAAGCTCCAGCGCCGTGCATGTGAACCTTACCTATGGCACTGTCTTGTCGGCCCAGATAGCTTTCCGTGGGTTTGAAGCCAGGATGGAAGGGCTCGTATGCAAGGCGTTCGTGTTCGGAGTACTGAGTCGCTGTGTTGGATGGTGGTTGGACCGACGAAGAATTACCTGGCTGAGGGTCTGCAAAGGGATCCTCGGCGGGCTCTTCATAGGGTCGGTTCGAATTTCCCTCGCCATTCTGGGGTGGAGGGCCTGGAGGTGGTGGGTAAGAATGCGTCTCTTTACCCTTGCCGGAACCTGACCCAGATCCGTTGCTGAAGTAGTGATCGTTGCCGTTGGTCTCAGGTTGAGACTCTGGCTGCTGTTGGGGCTGAATCTGAGGGGTCAGGCTGGGCGACTGTGAGTCGGATCGTTCGTTCAGACCCAGTTGTTTCCGGGCGCTCAGGACAGCTCGCTTGTGCTGATTGAGCGCAGTTTGCAGCTGCTCGTTGGTGTCGATGAGATTCTCCATCGTGTCGTTATCAGGAGTGGGATTCTCAGACGTCATGTAGCCTTGGATACTGCGAGATGCGCTTGAGCATCGATCAGCAAATTCCTTGATAAGCTCGTTGTCGAGAATCTCGCCGGGAGGCGTATTCATGACAACTTGCTCCAGGAGCTTAGCTGATGTTCGGGCTTCTTCAAGTCGGCTGGCCAGCTCAATAGGGTCAGGCAAGCGCTTATTCGTGTGATGTCTCGCGAAGTAATTCTGCGAGTGTGGGTTTGGAGGAGGCGTGTTGAAACCGCCTGGCGACATCATGGGCTGCTGCGGTCCCTGTACCGGCTCGTTAGTATGTAAGGTCCCATAACCCGAATCATGTTACATACCCCGAAGTTCTTATAAGCTTGTTCCTTCTCCTTTTGCCACATTGAAATGAGCAAAGTCAAGTTTTCGTCGTACGCCTTGGTGTGCTGGAAATCATCGAGTGTTTCCATGAGAATCTGCCGCACGCTGGGGTCTCGTACAGCCTTGAGAAGTCCACGCGCAGTATCGACAAACTTTTGGTCAAGGTTCCGCGTGAAAGTCGCACCAGGGTTGTCGGTCAAGATGCGCAAGAGCATGATTGCGTTGTACTGCCATGATGGCTTTGAAAAGTATTCTTTGGACAGGTACTTGCGGATCAGGCGCGCGCATTCGGCGGCAGCGGCTGGGGAGGATTCGGCGGCATCGACGATAGGAGGGAGAAAGAGAACCTCATCTTGCTGTTTCGCATGAGATTAGCTGAGCCGTGACGTCTGAGGGGGCGACTGTAAAACATACCTTGGACTTTCCTCCAGACTCGCAAAATGCTTTCTAGGCTCTGGTCAGCGATGGCCAGACGGACGACACGGACGGCTTCGCAGGATGCGCGATAATATAGGGACATACCACGCTGTTGTGAGCTGTAGCCTCGGGTGTTCCGGCTGGTGTCGTGCCTGAAGGTGAAGCTCCGGAGGGTCCGTCAGATGCTCCTAAGACTTGTCAGCTCTGAACGTGTGCAGTGTTTATTTTGGGCTGCCTGAAACCAAAGAGGTCGATCGCAACGCAGCGCGCATGAGAATACGTACGATTGGAGACATTGCTGGCTTTTCTTCTGATGCTACCGAGCACCTTGCTCATACCAAGACCCTTCATGGACTTCATGGCTGTGTTGGAAGCTCGCGCCACAGCGGGCGACTCTAGGGGTGGAGGAATCGGGGGGTTTCTTGGAACAGGAGGCGAGATGATGCTGGAGTTTATAGCGGTGTTTGGTAGATGAGGAATAACAAAGTTGCTGAGGTCAAGTTGTGACTCGAAAAGTTGAAGATGTAGGGAAATTAAGGCTCAAATGGGAAGGCGCCGGGATGCAATGCAATTACTATCACGGTTTCAGAAGCGAACGGTGATGTTGGTTGGTCTTGGTACGTTTCTGCCTCTCGGAGCTGACGATGTTGGAGCGAGCGTCAAATGATTGGCGCCGTTGTCTGGGAGTAGCAAGGGTACTGATCCTTTTGGACTGGTTTGAAGAGGTTGAGGACAAAGTTGCTTTTAACTCGAGTGATGTGGTATAGTAGATGATGACAAAGCAACAAGGAAACACTGATTGTCCGGTGATGAGATTGTTGTTTACCCGTAACTCTTCTGTAACTGTAGCTGTACTCGTTCGTTTCTTCTTGTTGAGTCTCGTCGATATTCAAAGTTCGGAGTTGTTAAGGGTCCGTGATGCGCCTCCCGCTAATACAGCCCCGTGCGTCACCCACTCTTTGGGCTGGGATTTGCAGGGTTCTACAAGGTCGAAATAGAGCAATCTTGCGATAGGTAAAAAGAGTTGAAACGCGAGGAAAGAGAAGACATCAATTTACGCATCAAATAAACATAAGGCTCTAGACGATGGTCTAATTATCAACAAATATAACTACTCTAACCCAACTGTAAAGCGGCCGCCGTTGCACAGCCTCATCACCCTACGCAATCAACCCCTCTCTATCGCCGCCGTAACACATGACATTAGCATTCCCTCCCCTCAGCATTAGTATTGGCATCGTGTCTTGGCTTCACTCTGGGCTTTGTCATGAGATGTGCCGGGCCTCTTTCTCACTATCGTTCATCAGAGAGACGGACAAACAAGAACGCGTGGCATTTCAATGTGCGGAGTGTTCATCTAAAAGGTGAAGATCCGCGTTATCTCCACAGTGGGAGCCGTTCTTCTGGATCTCTAACACGCGGCCCGAAGTTTGAAAGCTGGAGAGACTGTTATAGTGCACCCTTAAACATACAGTAGACGCCGTTGAATAGTGAGTGGCAGAATGTGTCAAGTTGTAAGCTTGAACTGCGTAAGCCTCATTTACTAAGATCATGCTTGTCTCAAGAATCTGACAACCAGAGATCACACAAGTCGTGGAGTTGGCAGGGGTCTCGCTGTGTTCGTTAAATTGCTGCGGACTTCAGGTTGTATAGACCTAAGTCCGACAGACACTCAAACCTCTCGGCAGTTTTCTTTGCGCCGGTGTAGCCCACAAGCGAGCATCTGATAAGCGACGCCGTTTCCTGTCGCCCAGGCCTCCAACACATGCTCCCACGACACCCTCTTGTAGTCAAAGTCGTGTCTATTCTTCATTATATGAAAAGCTCTTGACCGCCATGAAAAGTCTCCATAACAGACGACCGCTGGTCATGGCCTCTTGGCGCTAGCTACTGACTGACCACCCTCCGCCTCCTAGTCTTCGTCATCACCCTCGTCGTCCGACTCATCTTCCGAATCCGGTGATATGTCCTCCACAATCAAATTTCCTGACCGTCCAATCTTCTCCCCCATCGTCACTGTTGTGCTAGGTTCGTACACCGTTCTGGGGAGAATTGAGGCGATTCGGAACTTGTACTCGTGCTCGTACTCCCTCGGCTTATCACCACCCGCTGCACCCTCCTCTTTGAGAACACTGTAGCACTCCACAAAGGCATACAGGTCCTCCAGGGAGGCATCTTGGGGGAACCGCCGCACAATTCGGCCGATACCCGATTCCTCGGGCATCTTGAGTGCGACTCGTACCACGCTCTTATCGCTGGTTGGTGGCTCGGGCACAATAGTTGTTGCTCTCCATGCAATCCATTGCTCGCGCTTCTCCTCGAGTCTCTTTGCTGCCTCTGCTTCTTCCTGCGCGCGCTTCTCTGCTGCTGCGGCGGCGGCCGCTGCTTCTCTCTTCTGGCGTGCGCGTTCTCGGTCAATTGCTAGTGACCGTTCGTAGGCCGAGTCTTGCTCAGTTCGTAGATTTCTTGTTACTTCCTGGGCTGTTCGCTCTGCGCGTACTCCATCCAGATCTGCACCGTACTTTTCAATTGCTGCTCGAAGCTCTGATAGGTAGGTGGAGGGGGGCATGGGTCCAACGAGTCGCTTGACGATCCCCATTCGTGTACTGCCCTCCTTTGGTGTAAGGCAAACCAATGCCGAGAAGGGAAATTTGGTGCAGATATACTCCTGAGCCACCTGGTATGCCTCGGAATCCAGGACGTTTCCGCCCCACAGAATTATGTTGTTGGAAGGATCTTTGATGAAGCTTACAACTTCTGGTGCCAGTAAAGTCTCCTTTACGAAAGACTCGGTATCGTCGTGCTCAGGCGACATCAATACCACAAGCATAAACTTGAGGTCCTTCTTGGCTTGATCATGCGCCTGAGCGACCCCGCCCTCGAAGAAGGGTAACTCGTTCTCTCCATACTCCTCTTCGAACTCTCGCTTGAATCTCGAGGCAGTGTCTCGAGGCATGAGAGGTCGTCGACCATTGGTGCCTCTGAAGCCTGTCGAGATTCTGCTCGTAACAGCCCGCGGTCGAATCGAGGCGGGCAAGAAGGACAGCGCATAGATCAAAGTCCGAAATAGAGTCGAGGCAGCTCTCCAGCCTAAGCTAAAGGGTGTGAGGAGCAGGCCCAGCAACCATGGTGTTCGGTTTGTGACAGGGTTCTGAGGCACGATTCTCGGAGCTAGATCAGTGCGCTGTCGTGGTGAAGCTCGAGGGGCACGAATTGCCTCATCAAAAAGGCTCTCTTGTAGGTTCTCGTGCCGCGCTGTCGCTCGGGGTATTTCTTGTTGTGCTGCAGCTACTGGGTCTGCAACTTCGCCGTCGAAGAACTTGGCGATTGCGATCTATGATGTATCGTCAGAAGGATGAAAAGGAGCAAAGAAGCGAGTTTGATACCTGAACATTCCATTCGGAGCGTCGGAGAAGCGGAATGGCTTCGCCGATCTCTTGGTTGGTCACTTGTGTATATTGATCAAGAGCCTCCTGCTGAGTAGTGGACAGTTGTCCCAAGTCCATGTCGCCTTCAGCCATCTTGTCAATCTATATCATCCAGACTGCTCTTGTTACAGGGTTCGAATAATGTCTCTCAGGTGAACAGCAAGAAGAGGGGAAAGGAACCGAGTTCAAATGTGCGGGAACGAAGATTGAATGCGGTCTACGTCTCGCTTGTGGTGTAACCCCACGGTTTTATAAGATCCAATACATTGGGCATTCGTAAATAAGTGGTTGGAAGATTCCGGCTTCGCTGCATATAAAGTAGAAGAAGGAGTGTGAAGAAAGATTAAAAATTTCAAACTGTCCGAGGTAAAAAAGAGGTTTAAAATGGACTCGATTGAAGTTTCTCATGTACGTGATATCGAAAGACGAGAGCTAGAGATGAGGTTGACGAATGATGGCATCAAGCGCGCCAAAGCTAAAGTGGGCGGGCTTGCTTATCAAAAGTCAGATTAAACCCGTTTTGGGGTGGGCTATTCTTCGGGACAATGATATTATTGGTGTCTTCCATAGGAACAACGAACTGGCTTGAGGTTTGGCGTCATGACGTGGAGACACATGTCTAAGTATACTTCCATACAAAAATAATAGAAAAGATACTAGGATTAAGCGCATTGCTTTGCTGGGCTCGCGACACTGCCTGCAGGCTTGTTTACCCAACCCAACTGAAGTGTCTAGTTCCTCCACCAAAACTGCCCCCCCACCGCCCACATCCACATCCGCACCTAATCCAACCACTCGTTCAACTCCTCATACCTACCTTACCTCAACCTCACCTCTCCTCCTCCCGACCTCGCAAGACTTTGCTTGCTCCCGCTACGAGAGGCGACGGTCCGCGCCTTGTCCCCCCTCGAACACGGTCGTTGGCTTCCCGCGCTTTAATCACTGTTCAAGCTGGTCTGCAACGGCCAGCCTCTGGACCCCGCCGTTCGTCTCGTTACTCCATGGGCGGCCGCTCGCCTCGATCAATTGAACAATGGGAAATGCTTGCCAGAGTCAAGTAGGTGCTGTTTTTGTCAGTATTCGGCCTAGGTGCTGTGGGCATTGTTATCTGCGCCAGATCGTATCTCAGTCGGCAGCTTGCTAACATCCTCCTCTTTCAGACGTCGTAAACACAGCCAAGCGGGCTGCACTACCTTCAGCACTATATAATTGACCATGGCGACTTCGCGATATCAAACGGCCGATCTGCGACGCCAAGTTGGGTCCCCGAGACCCAAGGGACGCGGTTCGTTTGCCCTTTCATCCATCCCACGATATCGACACACCCCACCAACAAATCAACTCCAACATGAACGCTGACCTGCGCTCTCCAGAGAATAAAGATACACTATGCCGAAACGTACTTATTTATGGCCATTGTCGATATGAGGACCAAGGTTGTGCCTTTAGTCACGACCAGAACAAAAACAACTCCAATTCAGACTTGTAGGTTACTCAAACTTTTGTTTTGTTTGTTTGTTGTTTTCGGGATGGATGGACCCGACCCATGATGCGACAGTTCGCAGTACCCAAATTGGATCCGACTTCGCTTGACTTATAAAGTTACACGCTTCAGCCATGAAAGCCTCGCGCTGTCGGTTCAATGGTGTGTTTGTTAATGAGGCTTGTAAGTGATCATTGTATACAGTGGTTACATACTTTTCTGCGAAGACAGGAGGCTTCAATGCTGCTGCAGGAAGGACCGTATGTCGCATGACCTCTCCGCTCATCGGCCGATACTCCCTCATCACCAATGACTTGCCAACTTTACTTCAACTCTTCCAAAACACAACACTCCCATGTATCAGCAGCCCTGGTACTGTATCACTACTTCAGGCATATAATATCCCACACTCTCTCTTGCTCAAGTTGACTCTTGCGAGCTGCTACTCCACATTCAGCAACTCACACTGCGATTCCGGACCTCCAACATGGCTAATGATGATGAACCCAGATCCAAGAAAGCCCTCAATGTTGAATCGCCATCTTTCACGCCCGCTAGCGTTGGGAGTAAAAAGGCCACCTTCTCTTCACAAGCTGCCAGCGCTCCAGCTTTTACACCACGTGGCTTGGGCTGTATGTCCCCCATAAGTACCCTCGTTCTTGAGTCAGTCAACTGACAAAATGTTTGTGAAGCCGCTACCCCGGTTGGGCCCCAGGACGGCGACAGCAGCGTCTTCAATCCTGCAACTGTTCGCGAATTTACCCCTAACTTTGACGTGAACAGCACGGTATGAACTGTCACTGCCGATATCGAGACTCCGCTAATTAGATAGACTACTTCCGCAAATGGCTCCGGCCAAGATGGCGGGATCTCTTATGACCCCTTCACTGTGCCTACTATGAATCAAGGCATTACTACTCCTCAGTACAACCCCTATGCTGAAGATCCAGGAGCTCTCGGTGGCCATGGGCCAGGGTACTTCCCAGCACAAAATGCATTTGCTGCTCCTGTTCAACCTCTGCAACATCACTTATACTTCCCCGCTGGGCAACGTCGAGATGATTTGATGCCATATCATCGTGTTCCTCACGACTTTTTCATCGCCGAGAAAGATCGAGTTGAGATTGTCAATAAACTTGAAGCGACTGGCCAAGTTCTCCCCAACTCTCAGTTACCGCAACTCGACAACTACCACAACTTGGTACCCTTGGATACAACCCATCGGAAAAATGCCAATATCTTCGGCTATCCGAGCTGGGTATATAAAGCTACACAAACCAAGTCGGGTCACACTTATTGTCTCAGGCGATTAGAAGGCTACAGACTCACCAACGAGAATGCCATCCGGCTTGTCAAAGAGTGGCGGCGCATTAACAATGGCAGCGTGGTTTCTATCATTGATGCGTTTACCACCCGCGCTTTCGGGGACAGCTCACTCATCTTTGTACAAAACTATTTCCCCCTTTCCAAAACACTAGTTGAGGCTCACTTGACCCCAAGCAGTACCCATGGTACACGTTTCCAAGCTAAAACACCCATTGCTGAGAACGTCCTGTGGGGTTACATCTCACAGATCGCCAATGCGCTCCAGGCTATCCATTCGGTCAATTTGGCAGCACGATGCATCGACCCTAGCAAGATTATCCTTACAGACAAAGGCCGCATCCGTCTCAGCGCATGCTCTATCTTGGACGTCGTTCAATATGATGCTCATCGATCCATTCAAGAGCTTCAGCAAGAAGACTTCATTCAATTCGGCCGGCTATTGCTCTGTCTGACGACGAACACTCTGCCAGTCCATCTCACTAATTTCAACATATCTTTGGAACAATTGTCGAGGGTGTATTCAGTCGAACTGCGGGATACTGTGCTGTGGCTCCTCACCCCTCAGCAACCTCCCGCTCAGAAGGGCATCGACGAGTTCGTACGCGGAATTGCTGGTCGTATCACATCCACGTTTGACCAAATTCTACAAGCCAATGACAAGGCCCGCGCCGACGTCATGCGGGAGGTGGAGAACGGTAGGGCAGCCAGACTGATGATGAAACTCGCAACTATCAACGAGCGATACGACTTCAACGGAGATCAGAATTGGTCCGAAAATGGTGAGCGGTATATGCTCAAACTCTTCAGAGATTATGTTTTTCATCAAGTGGATGCCAACGGTAATCCAGTTCTGGATATGGGACACATGCTTCGCTGTATGAGCAAACTAGATATTGGGACGGAGGAGAGGGTTTGTCTCACCAGTCGAGACGAACAAACCAGCTTCCTCGTCAGCTACAAGGAGCTTAAAAAGATGCTGGCGAATTCCTTTGGAGAACTTGTCAAGGCGAGCAAATCAGGGCGAAGCTTCTAGTCCCAACAGGGACAACAACCTGGCTCGTGGCAACTTTCAGAGAATCGCGGTACAAAGCCTCAATACCCACGAGGACATTAGAAAAAGCCAGACCGAGAGTGGGGGGCTAGAGGTGGTGGTAAATTGATGGGTATTGGTCCTAGCCAGTCTCGTGCAATTTCTATTCCCACGAGGCCAAAGTCCTACAGGGCAACAGAATATTTTCCATGGAAACAAACACATCAGGAGGAAACAGGGTCTCAAAGCGAATCAGACCTGTCACTAGAGTTTCCCAGCGAGTTATGCCAAAGCTTCGAGAGGAGGCTAATGTGCTACGCACAGGCAGGCCCAAGCAAGTCTCCGTCATTGCCTGGGGATGGATCAAACGACGACTTACAGGAAGGATTGAGTCCTCAGAACGACAAGGTCGCCCCGGCTGTCAAGAAGAAACGTAGAAAGAAGAACAGGAGGGCCAGAAAAACAAAGAGTACCAATTTTTGAGAACAGATTCTCATACAATCACGACACGTTGGGTACCTATAAAGGCATCACCTTGGATCAGTCAAGCACTCAGGACTGGCACAATCGCCAGAAGGTTTCTGGCCTCTTGTCATATGATGCGATGGAGGTTGGGACATTGGAGGCAATCTACAGATTCATGATGTTCTGCCATGGCTGATGATGTTTAGACTGTGTGTGTATATGGCAGAGGTTAGGGGTGGTTCTGGAGCAGAGAGAGACGAGATAGCGAGACAGAAGTAGCGTATTTGTCTTTTCAATATGATATATTGCCTTCATTCGTTACAATATTCTATGAAGTGGCGGCTAACGTGATGATTTCACGGTTGGTGCCAGGGGTTTTTGTAAGATGCTGCTTTTGATGCCCATGCATAAGGTAATCCAAAATACCCTGGTAGTAGCTGGCGGTCTAATTGTGTCGCTCGGTTTCTTGAGTTTAAACCAGACTTGACACGGCCGTATATATTGTACCAGCTCCAGGTTGGATGGTTCGTTGTTTGCCTTTGTCGTAATATTCGTTTCCAGCTTGATAACAGTTGAGTCCTCAATCATCCTCGGCCTGCACAAAAGGGTTGGCAATCTCTTCGCTGCCGTCGACTGGGCTGACGAGAACAAGGAGAGTACCTCGAACAACTACGAGGCCAAGGGATCGAGTGGAGTCGTTGCCTTCGTCGTCTGCGGTCATTGTGTTAGCTACGAGTACTTATCCAGAAACGGGTAGAATATTGATCAGGACATGGTTTGTAGGAGTCGCGCGTCATACCTCGAACAACCTCGTGTACATCATCTAGTACCAGGTTCATAAGAGCATCATAGCCCTTCAATGTGCCTTTGACTGAATCAGAAGTTAGTGACTGCGATCCCCTGGCGCGCAACTCGAATAAGCATACCCTCACGACCGCCGTTAAACTTGACGGTGATCTGCTTGTCCATATACTTGCCCAAGTCAAGAATGTTCTCCTTCTTGGGTCTCTCGCGCTCCTGCTGGGCGCCTCCCGCGCCGCCTCCTCCACGACCGCCTCCGCGGCCACCTCGGGGATGCGATCCTTGGCCACCGCGGCCACCTCGGTGTGAGGGTCTATCGGACATGGCGTATCTTTTTGGGGGGGGTTAGATTGAGGAGATGGGGTGTGATATTGGTGGTGAGCCTGTGGTTTGGGCTGAGGTTGGAACTTGTGATGGCTCTGGTGGGGTGAGTGGTGCTAATACGATTGTGGAGGTTTAGGGGTGTGGATTTTGGCTGTTTGTGGGCAGTCATGTGTGAAATTGGGTGAGAGTGGATTGTGAGAAGAGAGCTTGACTTGAGCTTGATACATACGATTCGACCAATGAGTGGCAGGAATTAGATACAGCAACACTCACTTCTTCATGTGAATACGATAATCATAACTCACACCGCGTAATCACCTGGTCTAGTCTGCCGACTGCAGGAAAGATATTGATCATCAGAAACAAGTCTAACAAAATGTAGGACAGCTTTGTCGATTAGTGATGGTCACTTACCGACTTTCAGTGCCGCGATACCGAGCGTGATACTATTGGACCTGTAATATAGACGCAACTGGAAGTGCAAGTGCAAGACGAAATATATCGCTCGCGTGCCTCGGAGACCAGCGTCGCAAATTGCAGTAGCAGATCGACGAGCGGGATGATACAGCGCAGCCAGTGCCAGTGATATTGCCTCACTCATCTGACTTGAAACTAGATCCATGCAGCTCGAGTGAGCTTGTCTCTTTTCCTATTTACCGCCTGTAGTAAATCATCCCTCCCTCCCTCCATCCGTGCAAGCTACTCTACCTTGGGGATTTGCAGCAGCACAGCCTCATACAAAGATCCCGCGCTGGGACATGCATTAAGGCGCCTATGTACAGATTGACAGGAGTGATATGCGACTCTCATTACAGGTATATGAGCTGTTTTTTTGCGTGTACTTGACTCCTCAGAGGAGGCCTCTCAACATCCATCATGAACTGTCCGAAAAAGGAAATCAAGCTACAGTAGCACTGTGTCTTGAGCCCGCTGGCCCGCCGTTACCAAGCTGTAGTTAATGGATGTCTGGGCGGCTAGCAGTGGTTGCGGTACCCAGGTATAGGGCATCACCAGGGCATTTGTGTTTGTGTCCCGTCTGTCAGTTTCGAATTGGTTGCTACTACTGCCGCTCTTTGTCCTTAAATCCTCTTGGCCTACGGAGTACCTTGTTGCTTCTTTTCTCTAAACTTTCCAAAAAGAAAGCCTTTCATCCTCAAAGGAATCATCAACTATAGTCGTCCTTTTCAGGCACTACAAGTCGGAGATTTTGGTGTTGACGTGCCCTTCATTCATACCTATCCATTCAAATTACCTTAACCAACTCGACCGTTGTCACTTTCCATCGGCCTCGCACCTCGTTCCGCTACACTCTTCCCCACATGGTCCCGATTCCCCGGCACTTTCTTCTTGCTCCAAGGCTCCCGTCTCTTTTCCGTATTTCCTTGTGCTTCTCCCCCAGCCTGTCCAATATTTGAACCCTTTTCAATCTCCTTTTCTCACTCTTGAAGGCTCCTCTTCACCCACTTGGGCTCCAACGTTACCCGTCATAGCTCACTGCGTTATTTTGCGCGAGGGATTTTCTGTGCTGGAATAAAATTGAGACTGCTCCACGGAGAATCTACAATTGTTCTCCTCTTGGCGCCCATTTACCTGCATATCCAAGGTATCTATCTATCTGGGGGTACGGGCTCTCTAATACTACTACAAAATCGACATATCCTCTCGATTCACCGTCAACTTATTCCGGCTTCATTCCGTCGCCATGAATATCCAATAACCGCTGTCGTTGTCCCATCCTCTCTCTCTCTCTCGTCTCTTCCCTCCTCTTCAGTCCCATCCGTCAATCGATCAATTGGAATCCCCGTCGCAACCCCTTCGCGACCTTGCCACTCACCTGACTCTAATTCGTCCTCTGGTCAAATCTCCCAGAGAAGCTTTGATATCTATCTCCCTATTCTGTCCACTTTTCAGCGCAGTCCAGGCAGATCTGTCTGCTTCACAGGGCATTTCAGGGTTCAATCTCGGCTAGGACATTTGTTGGTCAAGCGTAAGCGCCTCAATCTGTCACACGGCATCCAGGTTTGTCTATCAATCTCGACCCTTTGGTCAACATACCACATTTACACCCATCAATCACCCATCATGGGCCATACTTCCGACTCGGAACCTGCAAAACGAAAGCGTGATATCGATGATGCCGGTGGTCAAGGTCGCGCTCAGCACGCACAGCACGCACCTACATCTCTTCAGCAAGGTATGTCCAGTATGACAACAGCCGCCAAAGGCTGCACCATATTGTGTCGCCTCAAATCCTGAGACGTTTCGTTTGTAGCACCACATACGAGACTGTCTTGTTTGCCTCGACCTCGTCGTCGTTGCACACTTGCATGTGTCTCCGTGTCTCCTACATTCTTCAATGCATGTCGTTGCCTGATGGCACGCGCAAACGAGACGGCACTTGAAAAGCCGATGCTCTTGGTTTGACTCCTCGCCGGAAGTAGCGTTCAGCTCGACTCCTCCAGGGACGCACATGCTTGTTGCTTTTGTATCCGGCTTTTCTGTCTTGGTGCGATGGCACAGCTTGTTCGCTTGGGGGATATGCTAACCCGACCTCAAAGGCGTTCCCGGTTATATCCACTATCTCCCGAGATCAAATGCATCGCATTTGAGCCTCGTACAGGGTGACGCAGACACATTTGCCGACATCATCGGTCTGATTGGCGAATATGAGAGTAAGGATGCCAAGAGAGTCGTTGAAACCATTAATGTGATACCATTTACTGACGTACATCAGACGTGTTGGACAGGCATGAGAGTCTTGCAGCAAGTCTTGGGGCTAAACTCACCGGTCCAAGACTGTTGAGAGGCATTGAGAAGTTTTTTGATGGGCCAATCAAGACGACACCACTTCAGCCCTTCTCCAACCCTATAAGTTGGCTGGATGTTGTCAGTTTTGCGAGATCAAACCCAAAGGATTTCACCCTCGTTCAAAAGGCGGATGGCACCCGATGCTGCCAATTTGTTCTCAAAGGCTCACAGGTGGAGATTATGGAGGACGATTGGCGGTTGGTATGGTCTGGCGCTTTGGATCGGTTCCCCCTGGATCACCCCCTCGAAGAGGATGAGACTGCAGAACTGGCGACATTGGATATTCTTGAACAAAGAACATCAATTCTGTACAAGAAGGCTGACGAAGTGGCGGCAAGAGCTCGTATACTTAACCATCGGCTGGGGCAGAGGAAGCAGGATATTCGTCGACGCAGGAGCACACAGGACACACCGCCGTCACGATATCAGCCCACTAACAGCACCGGTAGTAGCAGTTCACAGCGAACGGCCAACTTCAGCGCCGGCTATGATTTACATGCGGATTTGCTGCAGCAGTTTCTCGCAGCTTCAGCTTCGCCACCACCATCTCGGTCAACTTCAGTTACGGGAATTCCTATAACCACTTTGAGTCAGCCATCTCCTTCGCACAGCGTAGCACACTCTCAAGCACACGGTCCGAGATACAGTGGCCATGCAGCAGAGGCAACAGTGCAGCCTGTGATGGACAGCCGCGAGGCAGCTTTCCGGTCTCTTATTACACAAAGAACTGACCAGCTGGGTAAGGGGGATGTTATCAACCCACCATGCGATCGCTGTCGGCGACTAAGGGTTGAATGCGTCAAACATTTGACAGCATGCTCAGGATGTACCAAAAAGCATGCAAAATGCAGTTGGAAAACAGTCACAGATGACGAGTTCCGACAACTCAAGCGAGACATGGGTCTCAGGGATGAAATGGATGTTGATGGGCAGTCAGATAGTGGACGAGTTCCTGACACATTAGACCCCAAAGACGGGCATTCAAGTCGACTTGGAGAGAGGCAAGAAGCAGGCAGAACGTCCGGGGATAGAACACCTGGAACATACGGTACCGATGAAGGTTCGAGGCCTCCTAGTCGGGACAACGGGCATCTTCCTAGTACAATGGAGCCGTCGACTGCATCGATGCACCGATTCGATCTGAGTGCAGAACGACATCGGCTCCCTTTTGGAATGGGGCAGTCAGCTAGGTCAGATCACAGCAACCATTCGGTCGAAACACTAGCACCTGGATCAAACGCCACGGGATTGGCGAGTTCGCTGGCAACACCTTCGAACAGTACGTATAGGGGTAGTGATGGTTCATTGAATCCTTCAGCCAGCTGATACTGCATCAGTCAGAATAGCCCCGCTGGCGTTTTACGCCTGAAAGTCCCTACTTGTGAGAGTCAACACATGGAGATGGCTTGACAAGGAAGAAGAGTGTGCGAGAAGAAGTCAACGTTTTATGAATTTGATGAATATAAAGACATTTGAAATCTGCTTCAGGCATCTCATCACATTTAAAGAACTGCCGTTATTTATGTTTCGTCATTTTTATCTTGGCTTTAATCGGCTTTACACATGGCAGCCTCTGACCCACATATAAGGTTAGTACTAAGCTAAGGCACTTAAGTTGCGGTCGAAAAGAATACGTACCTACCTTGGAGACCCGCTAGCGCCACTTCCATTGCGGATCCCGTCGAGACGCATCTCATCCAGTGGCAGCCGTAGAAAAAAAGTTTTGGCAGAGGGCGATTAGATAAGGCACTAATGACCTCTTCTACCGCTAATGAGGTGCCACTGCTGCTAATGCTTCGCTGATTCATGAAAAAGATTCTCCATCTTTCCCAATCACCAGAGGCGATTCCTCTTCTTCAACACATACTTGGCGACCGAGCCCTTGTCTTATCGCTCGCTGATGATCGTACTACGCCTGCTTTCTTAATTATACGGCATCGACAGGCTTCACTACAAGTCGCTCTTATCGACCGACGGTCCCGCGCAAAATCGAAATTTAACGGCGAATCGACTGAAGGAACGAGTAAAAGCAACAGAACAACCAGCGTTGACGGAATCCAAGGCTCTCCTCTTACTTCACAACCGAAAACTGCACCTCACCATGTCACACCATCAGCCTACGTCGCACGCCATGTCCAGCCGCGACGAGAAACCATTCCATCATTCCCATTCACCAATCGATCACTCGGCAC